TCCAACTGATGCTACATGGACTAAGTGTGTGGCAGTGATCACACAAAGGGATTGAACAGGAAATGCCAGTCATCCAGCAGTCCTGGAAGTGATCATGGACTGGCAAAGATGGCAAAGATTTCAGTATTGACAGAGAAGGAGGTGATTCGTGTTGAAGAGGCCTCGCACTGGGTGCCAAAAAGCACTCCTGTGGTTTAACCCCAGCTGGAAACTAAGTACCACACAAAGCTGCTCGCTCAATGCTCCCCACCTGCCTTCAGCGGGATGGTGGAGAGAAACAGTGAAAAAACTCTTGGGTTGACAAAAAGACAGTTTAATGGGACAGAAAAGGAAGAAAATAATAATTATAATAATGATAAAAGAAATGGAATATACAAAAACAAGGGATGCACAATGCAATTGCTCACCACCCTCTGACCACTGCCCAGCCAGTTTCCAAGCAGCTGCCCCTGGCCAGCTTTTTATACCAAACATGATGCCACATGGTATGGAATATCCCTTTGGCCAGTTTGGGTCAGCTGTACCAGCTGTGTCCCCTCCTAGCTTCTTGTACCCCTCCAGCCTTCTTGCTGGCAGGGCATGAAAAGCTGAAAACTCCTTGACTTTGTATAAACACTGTTTAACAACTAAAAATATCAGTGTGTTATCAACATGATTCTCATATTAAATGCAAAACACAGCACCATCCCAGCTACTAGGAAGAAATTTAACTCTATCCCAGTCAAAACCAGAACTGTTATGAAGCTTGTAACTTGGTTATTCACCTCAGTATAGTAAGTATACTTAATACGTCTAATACAGAGAGAAAAATTTAATGAGACACTTCAGAGGAATTAAAGTAACATTCAGTAGTTGAGTGTCTAAATTTTCTAGGTAGATAATATACGAAAAGACGGAAGGAAAGAGAAAGTGAACACGTAGTCTTATCTAGATATCACAATGCCTTTTTTTAAAATCTAATAATTACACCAATAATTGAAACTGAATTGCTTACACTATTGAAAATAGATAAAGATTAGAATCCACATTGCAGTTAATGGTAGTGTAATCATGAAGCTGCAGTCACATTACTGCTCTCAAAACAGCTGCCATCTATTATTCTCAGTAGAGATTAACCTAATTGTACTTTACTATGATTCTTATTTTCAAAATGGCTATTTCCTCATGTAATTTCCAAGTGACAGAAGTCAAGTTGATCCTGAGATGACAATCTCCCCTAATGTTTCAGAAATTGTAATGGATCAGATCACACAGGACAGAGACAAAAATTTCCTTGCAAGTCCCCACATGAGTAATAGCTGACTTGAAAAAATAAAGAACAGAAAAGTTAAAATTATCAAGAACATAAGGTGTTACACATCCTTAATTTTAGAAAAAAAGAGTAATTTTCACACTTAGAATTAAAGTATTTTGATCCTTTGCAACGCAGCTAAATATGAATTCCCTACCAAACACATCTACATCATGTTCTCTTAGATTGCTTATTATATTATTAGTTTGACTAGAATCTGTAATTTGAGTTATACAATTATCAGCACTATCATTTTTATAATTAAACACAGTAAATAAACAGATAAATTCAGATATAATAATAATAATAATAATAGCAGCAATAACAATACACAAAACAGCATTTCCTCATTAACACACTTCAGAATGAGAATTTTCTACTGACAGCCCACTGGACATAATAAGCATCCAGGCTCATCTCTGAAATAGTTTATTTAGCAGTAGGTAGATAAGATGGGGGCAAAGGCAATGAAAAAAATGGGATAGTATTTAAGTTCTGAACAACATCTTGTCTTGTTTTCCACATACATGACTCAGCATCACTGTAATTGCTTATCAAAAAAATAAATCATGCCTAGGTTTGTTCTAACTTTTCTCTAAACTGGAGAAAATATTTATGGTAAGCATAATCTAATTGATGGTTATGAAATGATGAGACCATTTAGACAGATGTCTGATTCTCCATGGACATTCTTTCTCCAGGAGAATTAAGGAAGGCCTGCAGCCTTAACTGCTTTTTCTGAAATTATGGTGGCAGAACTGTCCATCTAGATTAGTGTCATCTGCCCTTTTAGAAAAATACTGGTGCCTGTAAGGCTTTCAAAGATAAATTATCTATGTGAAGGGATGATTCCATGTTGAGTTACTGATTCTTTTTCTATTAAGATAAACTCAAATGGGGATCTTCTCCAAAAAGGTAATTACATTTAAGATCTCCATCCAAACTATGCACTAAAAATTTGAAAATACTAAATATTACTGTGCTTAATATTCTACCGATTGTCCCTAGAAGTCGTGAGGTCTTCTGAAAAAAACTAACCTAAAAGGAACTGACATGGCAAATATATTATTATTGTAGCTGTGATACTTGAGTAGAATCACTGAAGTTGTTGTGAACCTGAGTTGGAGAAGCGGAACTCACTAAAGTGGAGCAGTTTGCAAATAACAACAGATCTGTCCACTGCAGAAGTATTGCAAAACTGAAATAACACAGCACATACATGCAGTCTTGAGAAAAAAAATCCTACAAGAATAACAATTGTCAAATAACTTGCTTGCTGGTCCAGCATCAGTAGTTAAACAATACAGTCAAAATTCTTTCCCTATAAAGAAATCCTACCAACAGATCCATTGCAGAGGACAATGTTATGAAGATCCTGTAAAAGCACTAGCTCACAAGTTCAGACTGGTGATACAACATACCACATGCACACTCAGACACTTGCGTGGGCCACTTGTATGTCAGTTCATGTGCTATTTCTTTCCGTAGGCAAATGCAATAAAATAAATTTACTAACATGGATAATATTTTACTGGAGGATGAAAGGGTAAGAGTGCATAATGTGGACGATCATGTGCTACTTCCTTTTCCTAGCAGAGAAACATACGTAAGTTACCCTAGGCAAGGAATGACAAATTAAATGCCTGTCCATTCTTGGCAAAGCAGGAAAGACCATCAGCTGCTGTCTAGAAGTAATGTGAATATAAAACATAAGAGATTAGCACAAGCTCTTCCTGCTCTGTTTGACTAGTTACTCTCCATTTCTCCTAAGAGATAAAAGAACAAAGGATCTCATAACACAGGATTTTTGAAGGACTACAGGGGGGAAAAAAAAAGAAAAAAGAGAAACAAAATCTATTAATTACAGATTTTCATCAGCCCTGGATTAGAGGCCCCATCTTCTTTGAAGGTTCTAATTCACTGAAAGCAATAAGTACTAGTGCTACAAAGAAGAAGAAAGAATGTAAAACTGGGTTAAATTGACAATTACCATTTTCCAAGTAAAACTTCTAACCACAGAAAGCTAATGTTCTTCTAATAATTTAGCTCTTCACATTCTGTCTCCCCATAGCACCCAGTTAAACAGAAGAGGGTAAATTAACTTAAGTTCTTTGTATCTCTTGTGAAAATAACACGTTTCAGAAATTGTGAATGAAGGAATGCAAAACAAAAATATAAACTGATGTTTTGATTTTTAAGCTTCCTACCTTCCAAAAACTAAATTTCCAATTTTTTTTCATTTACCAAGGTCTATACAAAGCATTCAAAACTAACAAAAATAATGCAACAGTGTGAGTTGGTTACACTAAGTAGACTATCTCAACAGCAGCTACTTATATTGGAAAACTTACTATTTCCTGTTATGAGATGGTCTATAGTAACTGAACAGTCATTGCTTAAGCTGTACTTCTCTAAAAAATAAACTGAAAAAGCCGAATATAATTTCATTTTATGTCTCCACCAGCTGACACATCCTATGGAATTCATGGTATATACTGAGAGTAATCAGAAATACTTTGTTTAGCTTTCAGACATTAAAGCAAAGGGATACAAGTTCTGCTATACTGTTTTGACTTCATGCTGGTGTACCAGGATAAATACATTGAAAGAAACAGGTTTTTATTTAAATTGATTTACATTGCTAGCTGACTTTCATTCCTACACTGAAAGGAAATATAAATGTTATTTATGCTGATAATAATGAGCAGAATTACTACAGGCATCAGTCTTGTATACTTTCCTGTTTTGAGATTCAGATTACAAAAATAACAAATTCAATTTTTTTTAAATAAATCAAATCATGCCTCTAGATATGATTGCTATTATTATTGCTTATAAATAGCTATTTATATCAAGGAAAATACAGTCAATAGCCATCTACCCTCTATATCAAAACAGGCTGTTTTCCTCATGGGAATTTAAAATGAGAATGTTGGCAGTCAGGAAGTGTTGAAAGGAAGGGAAGGAGAGGAAGGAAGGGAAGGAGAGGGAAGGAGGGGGAGAAGGAGGGAGGAAGGCAGGCAGGCAGGTAGGAAGGATAGAGAAAGAGAGAGAGAAAGAAGGGGAAGAGAGAGAGAAAGAAGGGGAAGAGAGAGAGAAAGAAGGGGAAGAGAGAGGAGGGGGTAAAGAGGGAAAGAGAGATAGGGAGAATGGGAACATCTAAAACATGAAGGATTAAATGAAATTTTCTTAATGGCCTCTAACATGCAGGCTGAAGGAAGTAAAGTTTACGAGTAGAGTATAAGGAGAGTCTCAAGAAGCGGCCTGCAAATTTGATATTTGACAGATAAATCAGAGACTAACACTGCTCTATTAATAATACTTTGCATAATTATTCACAATAAGCTTGAGATTGATGGAGTCACAGAAGTCTTAAAATGGAAAAAAAAATAATACTTGTAATCAATCAGCTATTGCTCTTGGTACGCATTCACCCCAAACTTGATAGAAAGCAGACAAGACCTTCAGTACAACCACGATTTTACCCTTCCTAACAATCTGAACAAGTCACATATATATGAAAATGCATTCAGTGATCTAGCTAACATCTAAAGGCAGTTCAACAATCAGTCACTTACTGGACTGAAATAAACCTTAAACTGAATTGTGGCACAGTTATGTAGAAAAATCTCCATTTTCATGTACATGCTTTATGTATTAAAGGCATTTGAGTACACTGTGTACAGTAGCATAAGAAAATGGATCTTACCACTGCAGCTGGAACTTGAGGCATTTTTGCAGCTGGTGTTCCTGGGCGTGGGTAAAACTGATTAATAAACAAGCTTGGAAACCTGTACTGTTCTACAAGTTTCATTGTTTCTTGAAAATCTTCATCTGTCTCTCCTGGAAACCCACAAATGATGTCTGTAGCAATTGTTATTCCAGGCACTCTGCAAAGAAAGTACAAAGGAAAACTTAACCAAGGAATGTAAAAGTCTTCCTCCCTTAAAGGCTCATTTACACAGACTTACAACTCTTCAACTTTAGCTACAGAAATTAAGACCTAAAATGATTTTTGGGGGAAAAAAAAGAGATTTTAACACCATTGCTTGGTAATGAAGGATGCATTTGGTACTCAGTTGAGAGCGAATGGAATAGAAGAAAGATATTGCAGCAAATATTGGATTAGGATTGTGACAGAAGAGTGAAAACATCTGGATCAACACTTCCTTCATTCGAAATTAGAGGTGATCAGCAGAGCTCGTTATTTCTTGAATTCTAATTGTTTAATACATAACATTTAAACTGTTTGAGACTTAGGTGCTAGAAAATGCCAACCATTTAATGTTTTACAATGCTGCTATCAGAATAGAACAGGGTATCCAAAAGAGGGGACCGGCATGTCACATAACCCAGCAAATTCAAACAAAATTGGCTTATGAGCAAAAAAGACATCTCTTAGTCCCAAGTTAATTTCTAACTCAGTACTCTATAAAATCAGCCTATGCCTTTCTTCAAAAGAAAAACAAAAAACTTAAGTTCACAAACGCACAAATGTTATTTAAGCAAGGTCAACATTTCCTAACCGTTCCCCTTGGACTGAATATGCAGAACCCACACAGCACACAGCAGCTCAAGAGAGAGCAGCTAACAAGAGGCAGCCACCAGACACAGCAGGTAGCACAGAAGGATGTACCAAAGGGGGTGAAGTGAGGGGGCCTCAGCTGAAACTGTGCCACAGTAGCAGTCTTGGACATGGTGGTAACAGGTCACTGAGCATTTTCCCCAGCAGACATTCGAGCAGGTGTCAAGGCTTGCACCCCGACTGGGCTTCAGATGGTGGATGCAACCCTCCAAGTCCCAGGTTTCAGAGAGTCCTTGAGGGCTCTCTTTAAAACCTCTGTCCCGCAGGAGCTGCGCCGTTTTGGAGGAGCTGCGTGTCCAAGTCGAGGAGTTACAGGAGGTTGTGCAACACCAGAGAAGATGAAAAGGAGATGGCAGTGCTAGGTTAATGGTTGGACTTGATGACCTTAGAGGTCTTCAACCTTAATGATTCTATAATTCTCTGCAACTCAATAGTTTGAGGAGCCCCTTGATTGCAGTACAGAAGCAGGTAGTGTCAACACCCACTACCAAGGGAAGCAAGAACTCTGGAGAAGGGGAAGGATGGCAGCTGGTGACTTCTGACACCAAGAGGAAGGATCTTGACCAACCTAAGGGCTTGCAACTGCAAAATATGCTCATCACCCTTAAAGTTGAAGTGGAGGTAGATGTGACAACAAGCAAAGTATCTGGCCCACCTAACCCCTAAACCATGCAAGTCTACCAAGAAGAAGCATTGAGTCACCATAATGGGTGACTCCCTGCTGTGGTAGACACAAGCACTCACTCATGTGTTAACCCAACCAACCACCTCGAGAGGTTTGCTGCCTGCCAGGGGCAAAGATCCAGGATGCTGTGAGGCTTATCTGGCCCTTTGACTGCTACTGTCCACTGTTACTTCATGTGAGCACAAATGATCCTGTAAGTGGAAACCTGGACAGTATTCTAGAAGTGATCCCAGAGCTCTTGGGGGCGGTAGTCAAGGGCACGGGGCTCACGTGATGCTCCTCATCAGGAAGCACTTTTGGACTGAGAGTGACTAAGCACATGTTGCTCTGGGAGGTCATGGAGTCTCCCTCCTTGCAGATATTCAAAAGCCATCTCATAACAGTCCTGTGCAACGGCTGTAGGTGGCCCTGCTGGAGCAGGGGGGTTGGACAAAATGAGCTCCAGAGGTCCCTGTCAGCTTCAACCCTTCTGTATTTCTGTGACATGGCCATAAAAAATGAGTCCTACAATCAAGAGATTACTGCATAGTACTTCCAGAATACCCTATGGGACCCAGGAGATATCAACTCAGTTTTCCAAATCTGACACTAGTCAGCTGGATGACCACTGCCTTGGGAGAGACTGTAAAGCCACAGCACTGTTTTGTATTCAGTCTGCTTGTGTAGAATGGGAATAATGGTAACATATTCCTCTGAGAGGCAGAAACATATAGTGCTCAGTGCTCCCTACTGACATAGATGGGACTACTTCCACAGAGCAGAGTTGATTCTACACTGTCAGTAATGACAATGGACAAAATATGATTTATGATGAAAAGTAAGAACTCTATAAAGATATTTGTGGTATGTGACTTAAAACTGTCCCTGTTTCAAGTGGGGGAATAGATGAGATATCTTCCAAAGGTCTCTTTCAACCTAAATAATTCTACAGTTCTTAGGTAGGCAAGGGAACAGCTGAAAGAGATTCCTTTAGGGGTGAATGGCAGAAGGAGAACTGTCACAACCAAAGCTCACACCTGATCTTAACAAGGGATCTCCAAGACTGTCCCCAACATAAAGAAATGGCTGGAAGATTCTATTCCCCTCATCAGGACAAGAGAATGCACAACTGTAAATACCAATGCATGTAGTTCAAATGACATTTATAGAGCATTTAAATAGCCAAAGAGAACTATCATTTCCTATTATACAGTATACCACCACAGAAAAAAAAATAATGCTGTGATTACAGTGGGTGAAGAAACTTGAGTTTGAATAACTAAAAGAAACAGTTCCTGAAACAATGAGCTCTACTGGAATAGGTGAATCTGTTTGCAAAAGATCCAAGAAAAGGGAAGCAGAGAATACTGTTCTTATTAATTTGATTAGGTGCAATATTAGAGCATAGTTTATATTCACCACAACGGCCTTCATGCAAATAGTACATGGTAGTAAATATATCCTAGTTTGTTTTGTTTTTTAACTTATATAATTTTTTGGGTTTCTTAAGTATTGGCAATAAGTTTATACTAAAGCAAATGTCCTGCTTTTAATACATGTCTGCATATATAGGTAGCAGCATGGGAATTTGTAAGACATATTATTAGAAACTTCTTCCACATTCTCCTTATGAAAAATCCCCACCAAAGAAACCAATTTATATCAATTTCTTTCTCTGTTGATGAATTCAGACTCCACCATTTGAGATGAAGTTAAAAGATGGCAGTTGAATGACAAATCAAAACCAATAAAAAACTGAATATTTTCAAGGACTTGGTTCACTAACCATAAGTGGTAAACACAGGTTGAATATTGTACAGAACAGCAGAAATCTCCAGACCTGTTGGCTAAACAGCCTCAGTTACCACTGCTCTTTTAAGACTGACAAATGTCAAGGTATGAAGTTCCCCTTGATATCAACAGAATTCATCAGCTTTAAGGACCGAGTGAACAGCAGCATCTTATTCTGCAACATGATTTTTTTCATATCATAAATATCTTGTGCAGCAATAGTTAGCTCATGGAAGAAAGAGTACATTCCTTTATATACATTCCTTTATAAATCAGTACCACCTAACATCAGCTGCCATGTCTCAGAATATGAACAGAACATTCATTACATTTGACAAAACCATTATAATGAAGTTATTTTAACTATTTTAATGACACAATTGGCAACAGTCAAAGCATTTATTACCAATGGTAGTAGTAATACCATCCTTTATAAAGGCTTGGTTGTTTCTATAGCAACATGAATTATAAGGTCCAATCAAGCTAGATACAATAAAATATGCTCTTTTTCTCCATAACACAAGTTGTCATTCAGTTAAAAGGAAATTACATATTTTAAAAATTCATAAACTCTACAAATGTCTGAACTCCATTTGCTGATAAGGTGTTAATTATCTTAGTAATTAGATTTATTCCTGGATGGAATTATTACACACAAAGAAAAGCTTGGGTATGAAAAGAGAATAAGAACCACAGTGTATTCAGCAATAGCAATTAATTACAGTTCAATCCAGTATAACTGCCTAAAATATGACATTGCACAGTGCATTTTTATATCATTGTTGATTATGCTGTTTTCAAAGAAGTTTAAAAAGGGGAGAAAAGCATAAGATTTCACTCAGAATAAAATCCAAAATGTCAAAAATCAAGCTCTTAGTCTTTTTCAAAGCATTGATGAACAAAAATATGTACAATTAGTTCCACATGAGAAACATAATTTCTTAATGAAAAAAAAGATCGGAAAAAAGATATAACACAGAAAAATATAGAACACACACTCTTGAAAATTGAAGTGACCTTTGCTCTGACAGCCTGAAAGAAAGCAGCACAAAATTCTTTATTACACAGATTCAGATGATGTTTAAAAAATTGCCTCCTCTATGAAATATGATGGAAAATTACACTAGAATAGGTTCTTGTGCATCAGCCAATATTAATTTTTTTTACATGAAATGCAGTTTATCTATTTTGAAGTAAGAAAAGAAAAAACTGCTGAACATCATCAGTATGCATTTTGCAACATCACATAAATGCATTTACAGTCAGCCTAAAAATTCAATTGCAACATGTTTTCTAGGATGCAGGACAGAAGCTCTGAAACACGTTCAGTGAACCAGGAATGCACAGTGGCTCTTATGAAAGTGAAAGCAATTAAAAAAAACCCAGGAAGCTGCTTCAAACATACAGAACTTAGGATGCTCCTTATTAGCATAGCTAATGGACGTGGTGAGTCTGTTTCAGTATTTCTGAGTATAAAATGACTAAAGCTTTGCCAGCCATTTTAAACCTATGTAATACTGACCAAAGTGAGAAAGATTGCAGGCAATCATTTTATCTGGCAATCATAAATCTTGTAAGACTTTTTCTCTGAAGACATACAGTTGTCTCTATTTCAAGCTGACTCTCAGTTGGAAAATTTTACAATAAAATTGTGGACTTCCAGAAAAAAAGATTAATTTGACGAATAACCAATGCCATGTATGAGATAATACAGCCCTAATACTTAGGATTCCTGAATATTGTCTCTTTTATGTCCCTCTGCATACATAAATCCCTTCCATCTACTCAAGCAGATTTATGCTCTGTCATCCTGAAGTAGATCAGCAATAGAATCACTATTATCTTGGGCA